TCTTCGTTTAAATATTTTTGCAGATTTAGTTTCTGTAACTTAATTATCAAAATTGTCTTTAATTCTGCATTGCTTTTTAAACACACTGTAAAATTAAGGATCGAGGAAGAGGGAAAATGGTGTTGTTATTAATATTTAATAATTCCGAGCTTTTTCAAATACAAAAAAATCTTATAGTTTTATAAGAAAAGTATCTGCTTACTACCATACATACCTATGTTAATAAAAAATTCACCTATTTTTCAGCAAAAAAAGGCATTTTATACGTTCACGAGGTCCCCTCCCCCTTGAGTATACAAGGGTTGCCCTTAAATATCCAGAATATGATGACTATAAATTAGCATAACATTCCACCACATTAAACTAAAGAATGGTTATATACAATATACAAACAAAATAAAGACTTTAAAGACGACCTGAAACTCTTAAAGTTTGACGGTTTCAAGGTTGAATTACGTTTTCTGTCTTAAAAATAGTTTATTTCATTGAACCACATGAACATAAGAAAACCGAAATTATTAATTCAGTACACTCATCCCTGATGTTTCATCCTTTGTAGGTTATCCTGAATATAATGATAATTAATAATGCAAAATCAATTGACATCATAATATTAACCATTCATTAGAGAGTTTAGTTTTCGTATTGATGTTGGAGGCTGTTATGTACGTATTAATATTTATAACCTTAGTTACCATTCAGTTCAATATGGGTCTTCCCTTCCATATAAACACTTAACAAATATAATTCAAGGGTTACATAAAAAATTGTAATATGTTTAAAAATTCAAGAGATTTAAGAATTAAAAATAAATATTTAAATATTTAGTTTTAAATTTCGAATGTCATGTTACCTGGTATGTTGTTAAGTGTCTTACAACTAAAGTAATAAAAATATGAGATTTTTAACTGAAAGAATACTTTAAACAGATTTTCAAACGTTTATATATATGAAAAAGAACTGTCTAGTCTGGAAGTATCTTCAATGCACGGAAAATGTCGTCTCCTAATGGAAAGTCAAATCCGTAAATGATGTCACCTATTATAGTGGCGAGTGTAGGAACTAGTGACTTTATTTACAGGAGCTCACTATCATTACTAGGATACCACATATTCCGCACATTGGAGTAATCAACCTTAATGAACATCCTTATCATAAGCACAACCTGTACACCTTTCCCTCACGATAAACAAGAGGTCCTGGGTCAACAGTCCAGTGAGTCTTCATTTTCGAACCCACTTTCATTTCTTTAAATACAGATTTTATCTACAGGGTGTCTAAAAAAACGCTCTTTTAGACATTTTAACTCATTATGATTTAATTTTTAAAATTATTTTTGAAATCTATGCAAGTAGTAAAAACAGGTTGAAATATGATATGTTGGCCTAGTCGAGTTTATGAATTTGAATTTTACCGTATTATGGAATTTCATCAGGGCCTTAAAAATGCAAATATTCTAAACAAATCTAAAAAATCTTGGAAACCTTAGTTTACAATGCAGGAAATTATCACAAAGAAAAGGGCCTGTAAACGTTATGCCTGGTCTTTTAATGAAGTTTGGGCATACATTTCAGCATGCCTGACATCCTGCTTTAATAGAGTTTGGGCGTACATTTCAGCATTTATCCTCATATCAGTATTCTCAACCATTTTGTGTTATTGTAAAGCATTATCATAAATCATTGTTCTTACTTCTTGAATTTGTGTGCTACATACCTCTAATTGATATCAATTGATATCAATAATTCCATAGATTTAAAAAAGCCTAACTTTTCTTACCATGGTAAGTGCAGTCTAAAGCCAATATTTTCTGCAATGTTTCGACATTTATATACCGGTACTATGGCTGCAATCATTGATAATTATGTAGCTCATATTGCAATCATAGATAAATAGGTAGCTATGTTGCAATCAGTCGGTGGTAAGTGATTATATCAATACTAGAAATTCAAGGCGCTTCGCGCCCTTCTTTCTAGACTTTTAGGGCGCTTTGCGCCCATCTTCTATTTAAATTGTGAACATGTTCTTTTTGTTTATATTTAAAAACAAAGAAGAAAAATGTTTTGCGGATTTTTAAAAAAAAATTCGCGGATTTTCAAGTATTTAAATTTTTTTACAAAATTAAAAACCTTTAAAACGCATTATTTAAAAAAATTTTATCACTCATAAACCTTCCCTGTGGTCACGTGATGTCCCACAAAAAATTTGGGCCCGATCAGTTCAGCCGTTGACGTTTATTGGATACAAACAAACAGACAAACAGACAAACAGACAAACAGACAGACAAGCCAAATTTATATATAGATAATAATGAGGATTTCTTCACATGGATATAGAAACAAAGAGAAGCTAACAATTAAAAATTAATTACTTGTAAACTTGTAATTGGAAAAAAAACTTTTTAAGAATTAAAACTTAAATACAAATGTCGTCTTCATTGTATATTGATATAATCGCATACCACCGTAGCTAAATAATACTTTGCTTGTCTGTCTGTCTGTTTGTTTGTATCCAATAAACGTTCAAACGGCAGAGCAGATCGTGCCCACATTTTGTACGTATGGGACCTTACATGACCCCAGGGAAGGTTTTGCCTCCAACAAAATTTGATTTTCATAAAATATAAAAAATATGAGAACTTTGTTTTTTGTTTTGTTTACAATGCATACAATTTTAAAATATTCAGAATTGAAATAGAAGATGGGCGCGAAGCGCTCTGAAAGCCTAGAATCTAAAGAAATGGTAGAAATCATAGATAATTAGGTAGCTATGGTTGCAATCCTAGATAATTAGGTAGCTATGGTTACAATCCTAGATAATTAGGTAGCTATGGTTGCAATCCTAGATAATTAGGTAGCTATGGTTCAAATCATAGATAATTAGGTAGCTATGGTTGCAATCCTAGATAAGTAAGTAGTTATAGTTGCAATCATAAATAAATAACTAGCTCTGGTTGCAATCCTAGATAAATAATTAGTTATAGTTGCAATCATAGGTAAATAACTAGCTCTGGTTGCAATCAATAATCATAGCTAAATAACCAGCTCTGGTTGCAATCATAGATAAAAAAGTAGTTATGGTTGTAATCCTAGATAACTAACCTGTTATGGTTGCAATCCTAGATAAAAAAGTAGCCATGGTTGCAGGGGCGGATACAGGATTTAAGTGAGGGGGGGGGGCAAGATTTTTTAGGAACAAAAAAATTAATAATTAGGAACAAAAAATCGTGCAAATATTTTTTTGACTTAAAAGACTCAAAAATTTTTAACTTTAAGGAACAAAATTAACGGATTAGAACAGAAATTTAGGAACAATTAAAATATTGTTCAGGAATTAGGAACAAAAAATAAATGATTAGGACAGGAATTTAGGAACAATTAAAAGATTGTTCAGAGGAACAATAAAAAGATTGTTCAGGAATTAGGAACAAAAACAATGGATTAGGACAGGGATTTAGGAACAATAAAAAGATTGTTCAGGAATTAGGAACAAAAATATTGGATTAGGACAGGGATTTAAGTTGGGTCGGACACAGTACTAGGAACAGGAACAATATTAGGAACATTAGCAATTTAAAAACAAAAAGAAATTACTAGTTATACTTAAATGCATCAAAATTAGGACCAATATTACAATTTTGATAAATGAGTATTGATTAAGGAACATTACTAGATATGAACAATATTATAACTTAAGTCTAGTTTCTTACAAATTTCTAATTCTAAATTTATCGTTAACAATAACATTTACTTGTTGTCGTTGATTTTTAAATTAAACTGAAGAAAAGAAAGTCAAGATTTCCATTAAATAAAAAAAAGCTTGAAATTGAAAAACACATACGATTTTTAAAATTGGGAACATTTTTTGCCTCGAATTCTCAGGGAGGGACTACGCCCCTCCCTGAATCTGTCAGGGGGTGGCAAATGTCCCCCCCCGCCACCCCCCTGTATCCGCCCCTGGATGGTTGCAATCCAAGATAAGTAAGTAGTTATGGTTGCAATCCTAGATAACTAACTAGCTATGGTTGCAATCCTAGATAAAAAAGTAGCTCTGATTGCAATCATAGCTAAATAATTAGCTATGGTTGCAATCATTGATAAATAGGTAGCTATGGTTTCAATCATAGATAAATTAGAAGTTATGGTTGCAATCCTAGATAACTAAACTATATTCATGTTGTCACATTTCTAAAAATATTATTCCTGGAACAAATCTCAGCTTGTATTTTTAATGGGTTTGATAGATAAATTCCTGCATTGCATTCATGAACCACCTCTAAAGTTTTCACCCTCCAGTCCATGCAAATTTAATGGGACAATTATTACATATATTGTTAACCTATTAACTTTTTACAACAACCCTCTACAATCAAGTACAGTATGTCCTACCAAACATAAAATTGAAAGATGCTCAAATATGATATTTGATAATGAATATGCAATTAAAAATATCCTTCAAAAGAAAAGCAGGGCTATTTTTCATACACATTCTGTATGTGTAGATTTGATTTCAGTAGGTTCATTCCTATTCAATATTATCCTTGGGCGTATTTAGATATTTATGTTTAGTTGGACACACTGTGCACCCCTCTTCAATTTAAGTAAATCCAACCCTCTTCCCTCAATACTCTGACCCCTTTTAACCACCCTACCTAACTACCATTCTACCTACCTAACTACAAAAACTACCCCTGCCTTTCCATTCGAACCTCCCCTCCACCCTCCCTCCCCTACTCTTTAATCTTTAATCATATTTAGTACTTCCTTGTTCCTGTTGTTTAATGTTCTATGTGTAGTGTTAGCTTGTATGTCTATGTGTATGTATTCTATACCTGTTCTGAAAAAAATGCATGAAAATACAAATCTAAAAAGCCACATTTTTACTTCCCTTCTTCTTCTTCCGTTCAAGTCTATATCTTCTGTCATGCAGAATAAATTTGTTTGGAAACTGCAATATAATAAAGGTTTAGAGAATAAACCTTGCTAGACTTCGCAGATTTTTGTGAAGTTGAAGCCTTAAAGCTTGAATTGAATTGAATTTAATTCTAATTTGAGTTGGGCCTTCTGTACCGCTGAAAAAGCTCATAGAGAAATAATCATTTTTGTGGGAATAAATCACAGATACAATGTACTTTGTCTGATCTAGACAAAAGGTAGGAATGAGTGAGCTGAGTCGTGTTCCGGAATACAGGGAACGGATAGATACAGAGGAGGAGGAGGAGGATGGGGAGTTAACCTCCGGCTCATCTAGAGAATCTTCTCTAGAGGTCAGTTTTAAAGCTCAAATCTTATGTTTACCTAGCCTGGGCACCCAGCATTGCCCAGGTTACTGATAGCTGCTCCTGCCGTCTACACGCCCACATGCTCGTAATTATTACGGTTTTATCTTTTTTTCCTAAAATAGTCGACTGCACTTAATTTAAAATCTCAAAACCAAGCTAAAAACATTCCCGTGGTTCTCCCGAGTTCCCTCAATCAAAATGTATTTAATCCAAATATCTAAACTTGTCCTGTAATCCAAACATATAAACTGTTCCTTTAATCCAAATATATTAACTGTTTCTTTAATCCGGCCAAATATCTCAACTGTTCCTTTAAACCAAATATTTAAACTGTTCCTTTAATCCAAATATATAAACTGTCCCTTTATTCAAAATATCTTAACTTTCCTTTTAGTCAAAATATCTTAACTTTCCCTTTGACCAAAATATCTCAACTTTTCCTTTAATCCAAATATTTAAACTGTCCCTTTAATCCAAATATTTAAGCTGTCCCTTTAATCCAAATATTTAAGCTGTCCCTTTAATCCAAATATTTAAGCTGTCCCTTTAATCCAAATATTTAAGCTGTCCCTTTAATATATTATGTGTGTAGAGAGAGAAGAGCAGATTGGCGTACAATGACGCAGGAGAACGAGCTAGCGAGTATCTTAGATCTGTTCTGGGAACCAGGAAAACAGCAATACAACATATTTTAATATTTACACAAACGGATGAGATTTGCTCAAACATAATTGTAGGAAAGAGCAAACTCACAATTTGTGTTCAATCCTGTTTTTGTTAATCAGCAAGCTAAAGTATTCACAGTCCCTTTATTATAATATTTCTGTAGAGAAAGCATATTTCAACCAGTTCTGTACATGATCAAATTAACAGAATACGAAAAATAGTTGTTAAACTGAAAACTAACAATTGACAAAGGAATTGAGTTTTTGACACAAACTCAAATTTTCTAGTCCCTATATCTTTGCAACCTTATTGCGTGAAGCTGTGATATTTTAAACCTAGATTATCTAATTAAATGGAATTGGGTTGCAAATATACTCCGGAAAACAATTTTCTCAATTATATTTTTTACTTTGTATTGTTTTAAAAGTTTGAACGAGATTTTGACCGAATGTGCACAAACAAGGCCTGATGATCCTTTAGCGTTCATTGCACAGAAGCTGGAGAAGTATAAAGAACTGATTCAATTTTATTTTTGACATATTCCCTACAAACAGTTTTAATCAACTTATAATACGTAGTAATCAAAATAGTAATTTATGGTTTCTGCCATTTTCTTCATTTTTAACTTTGTAATATTTTTATATAATTACAAATTCGAATCTAAATTCGAAATAAAAACTACACTGAAAGACACATTTTGATCATAAACTGGACTTCTGATGATTGACTGTATAATTAACGCAAATGCAAAAAGATTTAGTTAAATACTTAAGATTAAAAAGACGCTATTGAACAGACTGTCGACATAATTTCACGTGACCCTCCAATGCTCCATTCAAAGATTTCCGTTTGGTCCAATTCACAATGGTACCTTTTAAACTTTTTAAAGAAATTATTCAATTTCAGATGAAACACTTAATCATTTTCCTCTAACAAAGTCTGGTAAAGATGTATAAAGGGCTTTTGTTCGATACTTTTCGTTTATCAGTGCAAGGAATTTATTACGGAAAAAAAAATATCAAAATGCTGACTATATATTTCTTTAAAATAGCAGGTTTATGAAATAGGAGATTATGAGAGTGAATAATGAATACAAAACAAATTTAAACCTTACCATTAATATATGTAATATGTAATGTATGTATTAAATGTGTGTGAATAAATCTTTAAAAATAATAATAATGAGGGTCACCTGAAATTGAGACAAAAGTTATATAAATGATAAAATTTTTTTTTAGTAATTTGAAACATTCATAAAATTAATCATAATTCTGCAGGATTGGAAAAGATAGGAATACAACAGTCAACACAAGGGTAAAAAGTTCCGATACATTCAAGAGGTCAATAGATACTCCTCTTAGTCTCAGGTGATCAATACTATACATAGATCAATAGATACTCCTCTTAGTCTCAGGTGATCAATACTATACATAGATCAATAGATACTCCTCTTAGTCTCACGTGATCAATACTATACATAGATCAATAGATACTTCTCTTAGTCTCAGGTGATCAATACTATACATAGATCAATAGATACTCCTCTTAGTCTCAGGTGATCAATACTATACATAGATCAATAGATACTCCTCTTAGTCTCAGGTGATCAATACTATGAATAGATCAATAGATACTCCTCATAGTCTCAGGTGATAAATACTATGAATAGATCAATAGATAGTCTTCTTAGTCTCAGGTGATCAATACTATGCATAGATCAATAGATACTCCTCTTAGTCTCACGTGATCAATACTATACATAGATCAATAAATACTCCTGTGAGTCTCAGCTGATCAATACTATGCATAGATCAATAGATAGTCCTCTTAGTCTCAGGTGATCAATACTATGAATAGATCAATAGATACTCCTGTGAGTCTCAGGTGATCAATAGCCGAGTTATTTTGTTCAAGTATTATCCTTATTTGTAAATATTTGCGTCTACGACATGGCAGCAAAAAAATGTAAATTCTACTTATTAGTCTATACATAAATAAAACATGTATCTATATAATGCTGTAATGGTTTATTTTATATTAATCAATTTATCATCCCGACATGGACTAGGGGAAATTCCATTGTCGTTTTTATGATTGATAGTTTAAACTCTTTGATGTTACAAAGTTGATATATATTTTCACGCCTTCATTCCCAACCTTCCGTTTTATAATGGATATATAGGGGTTTTTAAGATATCTTCAAAAATTAGAAAATTAGAAATAATTATGTAGAACTGGTTGTTAAAAAAAGCATTAATAAATATGTATCTATTGGTTTGAGTTTCGACATTATAAATCAAACATATGACACTTGATTTAAATAGTTACATGTCTGATCCTACCGGTCTTTATCTAAGGTAAAGATGAGAAAAATATCCTCGTTTTCCTTTTTTGAAAAGATATCGGAAAGAGGCAATATCCTTCTCTCTTTATTCTCCAATAATCTGCAAGTCACTTTTTCAAACAATGACATTAAAGGGAGTGTTCGCGAAAAATAAAAGGGGGTATAGGCTTACGGCGAAAAATTATCGATTGTGAAAGCTACTCATCTTACTGCCTTGTGGAATGATTTAGAGAATCGAACGCAGAGACACCTGGTGGCCAACTAATCGGAGTTTTAAGTGCATTGTATATAAAAGAAATAAAAAATATTATAAAATACCAACTTTATACGAAAACGAATGCGTCGAAAATCATCAATGATTATTGGTTGTAATATCTGAATTGTTTGTTTGGAATTAGATTGATTTTTTTCACGATACAAGTCGTATGAATTGCAACTTTCTGAATTTGTATGAACGCTACGTTCTTCAAAAATTTTCTCCTTATAGACGCAACAGATAGAAGTAAGATTAGTATAGCGATCACCATCAATAATTTTTCGCTGTATGCCTATACCCACTTTAATTTTTCGGGGAACACTTCCTTTAAGAATCAATAGTTTTCAGGTAAAATATCTAGGATATCTCATCGTTTATACTCAGACAAAGATTTAAATGGTACGGTAGGGTTAACTCTCTAAATAGAGGATCGCTTGAAATGTCTACAGTCACTTTAAGTTTAATGTAAGATTGACTTTTTGCAGTGCAAGTGTAAACGAGGTTGATGAGCGAAGATTACCCCCCTCCACTGTGAGTTCTGCACCTGAGAGCAGTAAAATACCAAAATGGAAGGAAATCGTCTCTGCTGCGTCTTCAGCTCCTTCAGCTAACGGGGTAAATATTAGAGGGAGTGTTTACCTTGCTAATAATGCATAAATTTTTTTTGAAAATTTGAACAAAACCATCCCACCAGAAGATGACTCTCAGGGCCAAAAATGTATTTTCTGTAAAAATAACCGTCTTTTGCTAGAATCTTAATGGTTTCTAAGTCTAAGTCTATGAGGGAATAAACTTGCAAATCTGTGTTCTTTCATAGAGCTTTCTGAGATTCGATCTACACTTTTGTAACAAGCATTTAGTTTGTTAATAAAACATAAGAACTCTCCTTCTTCGTTAGTATCGAAATAACTGTTCTTTTTCGTTATTATTGAAATAATAACTGTCCTATGGTTCTTTAATATTGGAATAATAACTGTACTATGGTTTTTTAATATTGAAACAATAACTGTTTCATGGTTCTTTAATATTAAAATAATAACTGTCCTATGGGTCTTTAATATTGGAATAATAACTATCCCATGGTTCTTTAATATTAAAATAATAACTGTCCTATAGTTCTTTGATATTAAAATAATAACTGTCCTTTAGTTCTTTAATATTGAAATAATGACTTTCCTTTAGTTCTTTGATATTGAAATAACTGTCTTTTATTTCTTTAATATTAAAATAATAACTGTCCTATAGTTCTTTAATATTAAAATAATAACTGTCCCATGGTTCTTTAATATTGAAAAAACTGTCCTATAGCTATTAAATGTTGAAATAATAACCATCCTCTAATTCTTTAATATTGAAATAATTGTCCTCTATTTCTTCAATATTAAAATAACTGTCCTTCAGTTCTTTAACATTGAAAAATACCTGTCCAATAGTTCTTTGATATTGAAATAATAACTGTTCTATAGTTCTTTAATATTGAAATAATAACTGTTCTATAGTTCTTTAATATTGAAATAATAACTGTCCTATGGTTCTTTAGTATTGAAATAACTGTCCTATAGTTCTTTAGTATTAAAATAATAACTGTCCTTTAGTTCTTTAATATTGAAATAACTGTCCTATAGTTCTTTAATATTGAAATAATAACTGTCCTATAGTTTTTTAATATTGAAATAATAACTGTCCTATGGTTCTTTAGTATTGAAATAACTGTCCTATAGTTCTTTAGTATTAAAATAATAACTGTCCTTTAGTTCTTTAATATTGAAATAACTGTCTTATAGTTCTTTAATATTGAAATAATAACTGTGCCATGGTTCTTTAATATTGAAATAATAACGGTCCTATAGTTCTTTAATATTGAAATAATAACTGTCCTATGGTTATTTAGTATTGAAATAACTGTCCTATAGTTCTTTAATATTGAATTAACTGTCCTATATAGTTTTTAATATTGAAATAACTGTTTGATAATTCTTTAATATTGAAATAGCTGTCCAATAGTTCTTTAATATTGAAATAATAACTGTCCTATAGTTCTTTAATGTTGAAATAATAACCATCCTTTAGTTCTTTAATATTGAAATAACTGTCCTTCAGTTCTTTAATATTGATATAACTGTCTTATAGTTCTTTAATATTGAATTAATAACTGGCCTATTGTTCATTAATATTAAAATAACTGTCCTATAGTTCTTTAATATTGAAATGTCTAGCCTATAGGTCAATTTAATGTTGAAATAAGAATAAGAATAACTGTCTTATATAGATCTTTTATATTGAAATAACTGTCCTATATGGTTATAGTTCTTTAATATTGAAATAATAACCGTTCTATGGTTTTTAACATTGAAATAATAATATGTAGTATTTTTATACACTTTTCTTTGGGATTATTGATTTTACATTAAAGGTCCACTGTGCTGGTTAAATAGTTATGCGTGTCCTCTGCACTAATTATGAATAAATAAAAATTAAAAATAAGCATTAGAAAATATTTTTCCACAAAAAAATAATTTTTCTTATGATTCAGAATTTCTCAACAGTTATTTCTGTATTTATTGCGGAAGGTTTAAAATCTATCTGATGTCATATATATATATATATATATATATATATGATTATTTGGCTAGTCTTTTTGTGTGCAACAGCTGAACCGATCAGGTCCAAATTTTTTGTGGTTGCTCATATAGCACGAGGAAAATGTTTTGTCTATGAAGCATAAAGAGTACCATTAAAAGGACCTAGTTTTATGAATAAATATCATCCACCCCTCCAGCAAATACATAGAATACATAGAATTCATAGAATACATAGAATACATAGAATACATAGAATACATAGAATACATAGAATACATAGAATACATAGAACCAAACTTTGCGCAATATTCACAATTTTTCAATTTACAAACAAAGTGAAATTCAAATGAATTCTTATGAGAGTTTAAAAATTATCCTTGATTAGGTTTCTAGTGCTCCCAGCAGTACCTGGAGTTATAACAGCTACCAGGCTAATCCAACTAGACGATCTCTTAGCTTAAACGCACTCAGGTATAATTATTTGATCAGGGTTGAGATATTTTCTAAAATAGTCGAGTTCTTGCCATAAAACCCGGATTTTCTTATCCCTGTCAATATTTCAAAGGTTTACGCCATCAAGCTACAAAGATATTTGAGTTTGTGGCAAAATCTAGATTCTATTCGAGGGGATGTAATGTAATGAATTTTCTTGAGAATTTGAACTTTGAAGATATGAATTCTTTCTTACAAGTCAATTTCCAGAGTATCTTGTATGTTCAACAACAATGTTCATCTATATCTTTTTATGTAAACTGAGTCCGAATTTAATGAGTTTGAGCCACGTCTCAAATCCGCCAATAACCGGTTTCAATTGAGCGCCGGCTTAAATCTTGAAACATTGAATACAATTTTAAGCGCAACCAACCCTATTTGATCCGCGTCTCAAATTTAAGCCGCGCCTCAAGTTCTTTAAACTCGGTCTCAGAACAACAAATATTTGTTTAATGATTGCATTTATTTACAGAGATGATCAAACCGATGGTACTCTGCCGGACACTGACAAGAAACAAAGAAAAGTAACATCTATTAATATCATTCATTCAAAAATAGGGATTATTGAGTTTTTACTATAACTATACGCCTGACTGTACCCTTTAGTTTTTATTTTTAAATACATTATGATTGATCCTGATAAAATCTTGTTGGGTGGGTTTACTGAGTTATGTTTGTGAGGACTGAAGGCTGTTGCTTTCAGGGGTGATTTTTTCTGATCTTTTAGTCTCTCTAAAAAAATCCCGACATATTCTTCCTGAGTACTGGGTAGTTTTTTTTTGAGAACTATATGTAAGCATAATTCTCTTCAAATATATTTCCCCCTAAGGTTACAAAGAAAATGAACACTTACTTCAAAAATTATTGAACGCTTAAACCTCATTTTTTTGTAATCTTTGACCATTTGATCAAGCTCAAGCAGCAGAATAAATTGACACATGACTAGGTTGCTAAGATAAAGGAATTAAAACATTAGAGTTTGTGTCAAGTATTCAGATCCTTGTTTGTCTAGAAGAAGAAGAAGACCCCGACGGTTGCAATGACAGCTGATGATTATAGAAAGAAACGAGGAATCATTCAAGTCAGAAAAACTGGTAAGATCTAAAAATTATGAAAATTAATAAGGTTTTCTGTATTCATCTGATTATTATCATTTTAAATGGTAGTTTTAAGTGAACCTCTATTGTAAGTGCTAGGTGTTCTATTCAAATCGGTAGTACAGTACCCTTCAAGCATTTGTTCGCGCCAAAATTATGAAAAATTTTCAATGTTCAACTGCGTTGCCGTTTCTCCTTTTGATTCATTCATGCATGCATAAACAAGGAAAAACTAACAAAGAAATTCAGTCTATGCCGAAAACTCACTTTTTCTAATCCCTATATACTTGCAACCTAATTGTGTAAATCTTTGATATTTCAAACTTAGATGATTTGATTTAGCAGAATTCACAGAATATCAAAGAATTGCGACTTTTGTCTTCAAAGATATAGGGATTAGAAAATCAGAGTTTGTGGCAAAAACTAAGTTACTTTATCTGCTTTCTCTTTGCTGCTGCTCAGATAATGGTTATGAGTGTATACCTGGGATTTAACTGTAAAATTGAAGGGAAACTTTAAATTCCGTAGAAAGTCTCTTTTATAAAATGCGTATCAAGGATTTGTATGAATTGTCGTAACTTAAAATTCATTGGTACTTGTTGGAATCATTATTAAGTCGTGCCATATCTTAGAGGATGAAAATCCGGCCGCCGCGGGTCAGAAGAAGAGCCGCAGGAAGCCTCGACCACCGTCCATCCTAACCGACGATTTTGATATCCAGAAACATTTCGAGAGGAGCAGGAAAATGCGCGACCAGCGTTTAGTCAAGGAGAGATAGTTAGATACAAACAGCTGATGTACTGTGGGGGCGGCCATGAAAATTTCGCAGAACTTCTTTTGTTCCTTTCTCGTTAACCATTTGTACTCTCATTATATAATTAAATCGATTCTAGATAAAGGATTTTGCTGCAATTTAGTGACATATAAAATATTTATTGCGCATAAAAGTCCTCCAAAAAAAGAACTTTAAAATAGTTACAAAATTGCGTACAGGATTGGATAAAAATTTCAAATCCTTAATTATAGCAATACTTACCGATTCTTTTTATGTAGCTTACGATCTGAAAATTGTTACAATTAGAGGTTTACGGAAACTTCAATGATAAAAATTTACTTTTAAACTAATTTATTTTATTCCTTTTTACGGAACAATTCAGATTTATTCTGGTGATTTTAAAGAAATAGGTATTTTCCGGAAGTATTGAAGGCCCCACCGGATATTTCCATTTCAAATACATTTTTCAGCAACGGATACTTTTTTTAATGTACTAAATTAGAAAAAACCACCATATTTGTAAACCCTTATTTAAAAATAACAAAAAAAATCAATAAATAAACAAAACATTGTCTCTCAGTTTGAATATTATTTGTCTCCTTTCAGTTTTTCTCCAGTGGTAGGCGATTTTATTAATTCAATGAAGACGACTTTTGATTTCAATTTTTATTTAAATCAGCATTGATACACTTAAACATATGAAGTCAAAAGAAACTTTCAATTAAAAAAGGTTCTCTTTGATTACTTGTAAACTTGTAATTCAAAAAAAGGTTGTTAACAATTAAAACTTAAATGAAAAGTCGTCTTCATTGTATTGATATTATCACTTTCCACTGTAGTAACTTATTAAGTAAAAGGGGCTGTATACACTGCACAATTGCAGTCTCTAATGTTCATTGGACTATGTAAGGTCATAACTTGAGTCTAAAAGTCGTCTTCCTATTCCAAAGTATTCTGGTTCTCACTGTACACTTTATACTACAGTATCCTTTTAATTTGATTTTCTGGTTAGAAAATGTTTGTTGTTGTTTTCCAACCTTGATACTTTCTATATTTGAGAGGACTGTTCACCCATTTAGGAGATTTCTTGCCAAATATAATTTCAGGGTTTTGCCAACGTCAAATCTATTCTTATGAATTTCGGAAACAAGTTTTTAAAATTTTATTTTATTATCTAAGATGTCAATCTTGGTTTTAACGATGAAACTGTTTAAAAAATCTACTAAAACAAATAATACATAGTTTGACTGTTAAAATGTTCGATGAGTCCCTTTAAATATTGAAAACCTGTCTTGTATATTTCAACTACTTGTTTACACAGCTAGGCAGTGAAACTGAATCGGAGAACTTGTTTTCTAAAAACAACTCCAACAAAAAGAAAAAAATGTATTGTCAAATATTTGCATACGTTTTTGATCCAAAAACAGATAACTCTGGAATAGGAATATATATATATTATATATGTTAGCTATAGCTGACCAAATGGCTGGACCTAATGGGCTGAAAGTTTTGAGGAAACCCATAGATATCCTAAAAATAACTTAGGCTAAAATATTCGAATTTCTTTTCAAAAATTAATTTTTTTTTCTTTAAAATTTGAATATTTTTTTATCCAAAGTTTTTTTTATTCCACAGACAATGTCGGGCACTTCAGCTAGTCACTAAGAAAGTTAAAAGAGTCTGTTTACTCTGCACAACTTCTGTGTCCCATGCTCCTTGTACTATTTCAAGTCATAACTTGAGTCTAAAAGTTATCACTGTACGTTATACATAACAGTGCATAACTTGTAATTACGCTGTTACAACCTAACTTTAATCTAACATCTTGAAATATACTCAGTTGATAAAGAGACTCCGCTTTGATTACTGCGAGATAGTAATTAAGTTCTTTTTGAAACATACAAGCTGAGATTGTGTCCATTGGTTTGGCATTGATTTTAGCAAGTGTCCGATTGACATTGATAGCTCATGAGATTGTGCCCATTGGGTTGGCATTGATTGATTACTTGCTAGGTCTGTTTTGACATCGTTGAAACATACAAGCTGAGATTATGCCCATTGGTTTGGCATTGTTTGAAAGCTAGTGTCCTGTTGACATTGATAGCTCATGGTGGTTTGGCATTGATCGATTACTAGCTAGTGTCCGTGTTGACATCGAGAGCTGACAAGATCGCGCCCATTGGTTTGGCATTGATAGAATACCAGCTAGTGTCCAGTCGACATTGACAGCTCATGAGATCGTGCCGAGGGGTTTGGCATTGATGGACTACTAGCTAGTGTCCGTGTTGACATCGATAGATGATGAGATTGTGCCCGTTAATTTGGCATTGATTGCAACCGGGATTAGCCATTGATAGCTAAGTGAAACTGAATTGTACCTGGATAGATACAGGTTCAAGAACCCTTTATGGAGTAGGGCATTGGCATTGATAGAATACGATCTAGTTTAGGGCTCACATGGATAGCTCATGAGATCGTGCCCAGTGGTTTGGCATTGATTGATTACTAGCTAGAGTACATGTTGACATCGAAAGCTGACGAGTTCTCGTTGAAACATACAAGCTCAGATTGTGCCCATTGGTTTGGCATTGATTCTATAGTTATTGTCCAGTTGACATCGATAGCTCATCAGAACGTGCCCAGTGGTTTGGCCTTGATAGAATACAAGCTAGTGTACGGTTGAAATCAATAGCTCATGAGATCGTGTCCTGTGGTGATCGATCAATAGCTAGTTTCCTTGTTGACATTGATAGCTGACGAGATTGCGCCCATTGGTTTGGCGTTGATAGAACACAAGCTAGTGTCTAGTTGACATTGATAGCTCATGATATCGTACGCAGTGGTTTGGCATTGATGGACTACTAGCTAGTGTCCGTGTTGACATCGATAGCTAATGAGATCGTGCCCGTTGTTTGGCATTGATTTTAACTGGGTTTAGCCATTGATAGCTTAAATGTTCCATGGGGTTCGTATTTGCATGTGATGTATAAAAATGAAATTAACCAGTAATAAAATAAAGTACAAGAAGTGCAAAAACTGGATTTACGAAGTGCGTGGAAAATTTCTATACTATAGTTTCATAGTGAAGAGATTTTATAAAATTGGATATCTGTTATATTTAGAGGAAATTCAACGCAAGACAAAGTTTTCTTTTAAATTTCCCGCCGATCTCTTTCATAAATACAGGGTGTCCCACGAAACATGACAGTTGGTAAATAGTTTTGAATGTCGTCTTCCACACATTGTATTGGATATTAAAGGCTGTTTACAGTTTTATTCGTTTAAAAAATCTTTTGCTCAAATATATTTTACTTCAAGTTAATTTTACTAAAATATGACTCCTATATTTTTTATTATATTTTTATATATGATATTTTTATTATTGTCATTGGTATTAAACAACTTGACAAATCATGGAAGAAGACATTCTAAACTATTTACTATCTGTCATGTTTCGTGGGACACCCTGTAGCTCTTCCTGCTAATCCTTACATCATTCATTAACGAAATTGAATTATACTATTTCAAGTTAAATCTCGTCTGCTCGTTTTTCAATTCAAGGAACCATAGAGTACCATAAGAGTAAGGTTTCCAAAGAAATGGAGAAATAGTTTCGCGAAAAAATAAATAAATTTGCATTTTTTTAAAAATTCTCACGAAATTTCAAATAACCTCAGATTTTTTATATTTAAAGAGTTTAAGGTTGTTATTAACGTATCATCCCCTGTGGGTAGCCCTGTATGTTTGGTGTATTGGACACACATAGAGTACAATTGGAGTTTTCTAAAGTTTAGTTTTACATTCGCTCATTGCGTGGGACCATGGAGTACAATTGGAGTATTCTAAAGTTTAGTTTTACATTCGCTCATTGCGTTGGACCATGGAGTACAATTGCAGTATTCTAAAGTTTAGTTTTACATTCGCTCATTGCGTTGGACCATGGAGTACAATTGCAGTATTCTAAAGTTTAGTTTTACATTCGCTTATTGCGTGGGGCCATGGAGTACAATTTGAGTATTCTAAAGTTTAGTTTTACATTTGCTCATTGCGTGGGACCATGGAGTACAAGTGGAGTATTCTAAAGTTTAGTTTTACATTCGCTCATTGCGTGGGACCGTGGAGTACAATTGGAGTATTCTAAAGTTTAGTTTTACATTTGCTCATTGTGTGGGACCATGGAGTACAGTTAGAGTATTCTCATTGCTAATCTTCAGTGGAGTCATGCGTCACAGTAAATTGAAACTTGACATACATACAATAAAAATAAAACCATTGAGTTCAGGCTTTTTATAGGCACGAAAAAACCCTATTTGTGTACGTTTTACATTTCAAACGTTAACATTAGTGATAAACAGAAAACTGTGGAATTGTAAGACGACATTAAAGTAATGATTAAGGCAAATAGTTCCTCCAGTAACTTATTAAATTACTTCTTCAGTTTAAATGGGTCTGTTTATACTGCACAATAACTATTTCTTATGTTTATTGGACTATTTACAGTCGAATCTTCAGTCTTCCTATTCCAGAGTTTTGTGGTTCTCATAGTATTTAGTATAAGATTTAGAACTTATTTAGTTAGAATTACACTAACTCTTTAACATATTTGATCTTATCGTGTTGGAAAGCTTTTTACCTTTCCTGACAACATTTACGCGGATATTGAAGATTTCATTCAACCAATTCCCATTGCTGGATCTATTTTGTTTTAAATTCCCAAAAATATTGCCAGATTATCAAATTAAGGGATTTAGTCTTTGTCAGAAACACAGATTTTCTAATCCCTAAATCTTTGCAACGCGATTCCATTAACCCTAGATATTTCAAACTATTCTCTCTTTGATCAAATAATCAAAGTTTTAAATATAAAAAATTTAAACTAACAAATTGTAGAGATATCGGGATTACAAGATTAAAAAATCGCCATTACAAAAACAAGATTTGGCCGGTTCTTTTTTATTTTCTCATTACAGAAACATCAGATAGCATAATACTTGTATATATTGAATTCAATTTTGGTTTTGAACATTCCTCTCAAGCATGGGAGTTAGGACTAAGTTGGGACTAAGTTGGGACCAAGTTGGGACCAAGTTGGGACCAAGTTGGGAGCTTTTATTGTATGTTTTATCTCTAACTATGCTCTATAAAAGTAAAAATGTTGCGTAATAACTTACCACCAATTGCGCACAATGATGAACCTTTTTTATGCGCACAGAGAGATAAAGTATAAAATAGAAAGATAGATAGATAGGCAGATGAGTTGTTAGACAGCAAAATACTGGTTATATCATCGAGTTGAAACCTCTTCTTTGTTTTATCATCAGATTTCTGTGCAGGTAGCAACAACTATAAATAAGGGAATCTTCTTATGCAATGAACCTATTACTCCAATCCAATCCTTACATGCTTTCATGGAGTAGACCTTATAAAGGAATTGAGTTTTTGTCACAAACTCTGATTTTCTAATCCCTATACCTTAGGAACCTGATGGTATAGACCCCAGATATTTCAAACCATAAATTCTGTCAGATCAATTTGAAATTTCAAAGTTTTACACCATCAAGTTGAAAAGATATAAGGATTAGAACATTTGAGTTCGTGGCAAAGACTAAGTTCCTTCCAAACTTTGAATTATATTAAATTATGATTTTAAAATCAAAGGTTTACGCCATCAGGTTCCAAAGGTAAATGGGTTAGAAAATTAGATTTTGATGCAAGTGATCACATAATTTAATTTTTTTATAAATATATAAATTCAATTTATATCAAATATTCTCTTGTTAGTTTTCTTTGTTGATCTAATCGATATATTTTAGTTGCTATAATCTTGAATTATGAAATCATTTCTCATAATTTCTTGTCTTTTGGCTCTCTTCGTTTTACAAGCTGAGAGTAGACCACAGGTAAACTTTTTAATTAAAAACAAAAAAAATATCTACATTTTTGAACGTACTTTTTTTTAGAACAATGAAGTTGCTCCAGTAGATTCCAGGTGAACAAAATTCATGACTTATGGCAGAATAGTTTTGAAACGAAATTATTACATTATTGTATCCCTGATTTTTATGTTTTAACCCAGAAACCAGGGATGCAATGTAAAAATTTTTGAAGGTTGAATTAGTTTGATTAACGTTTACATGTCCCCTAATATACATAAAATATATTTTTCTTTTTTTAATCGAGTAAGACTGTTAATTTAATTGGTCTTTCTTATCTATACTTCAAGTGCAAAGTCATGGTCATGTGTGCGCCCACTTGTCTGAAATAATTCAGTGTAAAAATTCAATCATTCGTGCAACCGGAGAATTTATAAGACGAGTACTTCATTTTATAGTTTGGCAGTGCATATGATTTATATTGAGCATGCTTTTTGCTTATGTCAGTTGCAATGTAAAAGCAAAAAGAACTCAGTTGTATTTTTTTATGTTGGGGGTTTGGTAATTATTGACAATCATTTTTAATTTAATGATGATATATATTGTTAATAAATGATGGTATTAATTGGTAATACGATGGTATTCATTGGTAATTGAGTACTATGCATTGACAATTTCATGACACTTATTGGTAATTTGTTAATATTCATTGGTAATCTGATTATATTCATTAGTATTTTGATTATATTCATTGGTAATTTGATGATATTCATTGGTAATTTGATGATATTCATTGGTAATCTGATGATATTAATTAGTATTTTGATTATATTTATTGGTAATTTGATGATATTCATTGGTAATTTGATTATATTCATTGGTAATTTGATGATATTCATTTGTATTTTGATGATATTCATTGATAATTTGATGACTTTTATTAGTGATTTGATGATATTCATTGGTAATTTGATGATATTCATTGGTATTTTGATAATATTCATTTGTATTTGGATGATATTCATTGATAATTTGATGACTTCATTGGTAATTTGATGATATTCATTGGTAATTTGATGATATTCATTGGTAATTTTATCATATTTTTTTGCAAGTTCTGCTGATGGTGTCTTAGACCCTGATCTGGAAATTTCCCTTGATTCAAAACCTGAGTCTGAACCTGAAGCCGAATCTGAACCCGAACCCGAACCAGAACCAGATAGTGAATCTGAAGAATCAGGAGAATCTGAAGAATCTGGAGAATCTGGAGAATCTGGAGAATCTGGAGAATCTGGAGAATCTGGAGAATCTGAAGAATCTCGAGAATCTAAAAAAAAACAATCTTAAATCTTTTTCCAGACTTGATTCTGCAAAAAAAATGGATAACATATATGAATAAAATCTTAACTTTTTATGATGAAAAAAACAATTATATTAAAGGGAATTCAGAGATTTGCGACTCGGATTGTCCATTTTAGAGGTATGATTTTGAGAATTGGTTTCATTTAAATTATTCTATGACGACCATGAAAATGTAAAAAAAAATTCTACAGTAAACTAATTAGTTGATTTTGAACAGGTTGAGAAAATAAAAATTAACTCATATCATCAAAAACATGTGATCTTATTGGTTTCTGTAAATTTATAAATTTGAATAAATCTGCGAAGAAATTCATAAAGAATAAGAAAATCAATATAATGTTGAAAAGGGAACAATTGATTTTAAAATTGATTTATTGACAAAGGAATTGAGTTTTTGTCACAAATTCCAATTTTATAATACCAAAATCTCGACAACCAGATGATGCTTACCTTTCATATTTCAAACTTAAATTGTTTGATCCACCAGAATTCATAGTTTGAAATATCTAAGGTCTAAGACATTTGGTTTTAAAGAAATTGGGATTTAGAAATCCGAGTTTGTGGCAAAGACTCAATTCCTTTCTAATGAAAAATATGTTCCTAAACATCTAAATAGTTTATTTTAGAAATTTTGTTACATTATTCTTCGTCGTTTTGAAAAAATTTTATAAAACCGATTCTCAAAAGCATCCCTCCAAAATTGACAATCAATGGGGATTTTAAATATTGAATTTGCGCATTTACTGAACAAGCACCGTAAAAACGTCTGATAAGTCTCGAAGGAATCCTATAAAATTTATCAAAAATACTGCAATCTCTGTTCAATGATGGGAGGAAGGCCAACCACAACAATTTCTAGTCCGAGTCACATTATCCTCATTTTCTCGTCCAAGCCACCTCGAAATCCTCGTTCTTCCAATATTATTTTTAAAAGTGTCTAGTCCTCCCAGATAAAACTATTTTTTTCAGAATCGGGCCACGTTAATAAATAAATAAATAAATAAATAAAATATTGAATTTTAGAATTTTTTTGAGTTCTATATCCTTAAAAATTTTCATCTTTTTTACTCGCATTTTCAGATATTCCAGGTGTAGAATGCGGAAAATAATTCCGAGGTTATAGAACTTAAATCTTTTTTGATTATAGTGAAAACCATAGATTTTGTCCGGCTGATTTCATTAGGAAAATTATAGGCAGAGGTATGCCAAATATTTTGCTATATATTTCATATCTAGAAGGTTGGCCATTGGGACATCATTCTCATGTCTCCAAAGATTCAAACATGATTTAATTATTGCAATACTTTAGTATATCCATATTTTATGCCCTAACGTGGCCAGATTAGTTCAAGAAGTAGAAACTTTTAAACACATAATAATCGTAGGACGAGGATTTCAAGGTGTTTCGGACGAGAAAATGAGGAAAATGTGGCTCGGACGAGAAATTGGTGAGGCTGGTCTTCCTCCCATACATTGCCGGTCACTCCCTTTAAGAGTAGACAACCAAGCCGAGTAGAACAAACTCTAAAGCAATATTTAAAAAAAGTATAACAATTCATAAACAGATTTTTGACGCAAAAAAAGGGTGGGCGGGGAAAATTATGCACTTTATGAAAGCAAAAGTTGCACTTAAACTACGCTTGGTTCTGTAAATTAATATAGAATTGGTTGTCATTTTATTGCCATGCAGTCTACATTCCGCAATCATGTAATTTTTAATAAATCACAAAAACAGACGAATCTTAAAAAAATAGTTGTCAATATTCAATAATTTCTAAGAGAGAGAAAAAACAACATTTTTTAATCGAACTTACATTCTGAGTCAAACACACAGTTACACAGGCACACAGTTACGCACACTGCACAGTGAGGGTTGACAGTAAAGGAAAGGAAAGCTTCCTGTTGAATTCAGCTACAGGTGGACTCCATCATGCTGACCCACAGCTGTACTCTTCAACACCCAATCAGAAGATAGAGATTTTAAACCAACCAATCACAGAGCTTTCAGCAGATCAGCTGGAAGAATATGCACTAATGAATCTGACCAATGAGAGGACGGGTAGACTACCTGTAGAACGCTTTCTAAATCTTCTATTTCCTAATCCCCAGTATAGGGAAGTTATGGACAATATAAACTATTTTACAAAAATGGATCCTGTAGTCGCTCTTTTAGAGCATGATTATGCCCAGAGAGGAAATATCATGTCACAAATAACAAATTTCCCCCCCCCTTTTTTTTAAGTAGTATTTTAAAGAAAGAAAAAAATTTATTTTAAAATAATAAATACTTGCAGCCATGAAAGACGAGTGACATGGTATTAATTCTAGTAGTTGAAATCAAAAGTGAAAACTTACAGGACGAAATATTAGTAAATATAAAGGAGGAGGAGGAGGAGGAAGAGGAAGAAAATGAAGAAGAAGAAGAAGAAGAAGAAGAAGAAGAAGAAGATATCTTAAACAATAACGAAGACCATACACAAAGAAGTTTTGTATTGTCAGGAGGAATAAAGGAAGAAGATACTGATGAAAAATGGTATAATCTCAGTCAGTTAGGTAAATAAACATTCACAGTCAAATTACTCATTAAAACGCTTCACTAGTCCATTTCAAATTATATTCTTACTTGTATTCCTAGTTGTATTCCTAGTTGTATTCCTGGTTGTGTTCCTGGTTGTATTCCTGATTGTATTCCTAGTTGTATTCCTAGTTGTATTCCTGGTTGTATTCCTGGTTGTATTCCTAGTTGTATTCCTGGTTCTATTCCTAGTTGAATTCCTGGTTGCATTCCTGGTTCTATTCCTGGTTCTATTCCTAGTTGTATTCCTAGTTGTATTGTTATTTGTATTCCTAGTTGTATTCCTTGTTGCATTCCTGGTTCTTTTCCTGGTTCTATTCCTAGTTGTATTCCTAGTTGTATTGCTAGTTGTATTCCTAGTTGTATTCCTGGTTGTATTCCTAGTTGTACTCCTAGTTGTATTCTTAGTGGTATTCCTAGTGGTATTCCTGGTTTTATTCCTAGTTGTATTCCTGGTTGTATTCCTGGTTCTATTCCTAAGATTATTATTAGGTATGTTAAAAGTTAGGTTTCTTGCTTTATATTTTTACTCCCGTAGTTCTACTCAAATTTTATTTCTATGTTTACACCTGAAGTTTTGTTCCAAGCTTTATTTCTCTTTCATGTTATGGATTATTTCTATTGATATTTGTAGAATCTTCTTAGCTCTACTTATAGTTCTGTATTGTGCAGTTCTTTTCTTTCTAGTTCAAACTTGTATTTCTATTCAATCTTCTTAGATCTACTTATGATTCTGTATTTTTTGTTTCTTTTCCAGTTCAAGCTTGTATTTCTATTCATATTTGTAGAATCTTCTTAGCTCTACTGATAGTTCTGTATTGTTTAGTTCTTTTCCAGTTCAAACTTGTATTTCTTTTTTTTCTTCATATTTTCTATTTCAAGTTCTATTATTTATTGTTTACCTTGTTTTATTCTATTTCTAACTTATTTTGTTTCGTTTCCAAGTTTATTTCTAAGATTACTTCCCTTTATTTAGCTGCCGTGAGCCTTGCAGTTTCCAAGCAAAGAGAAGTTAAAGAAGACACCGAAATCAATAACAATGATTATCACAACGATGATGATGATAATGCCGACGAAATTTTGTTGAAAGAAGAACCCATTGACGACTCAGTAGATCTGAATGAGTTGGAAGAGAAAAGAAATCTGAACATGTTCAACACTCATCAGTTTTTATCAATTCCCCACAATACATTATCGAACATATCTGGTGAACCTATACTTTACAGAAACTTTGATTCCAAACTAGTCATGTCCAGTGTTGCATTGCCTGGCCACGCAACGCTATTTATCCAAAACAATGCATCAAATGTAGGCATGATCAGTACACAAGAACCAAGTATAAACATGCACGGTACAATTGGATCGAATCTAGTCATGGACGATCAAAGTTTAGCGGCTGCTGAGGCACTGACACAATTATCAGAATTACCAAGGTATAATTATTAATATGATTTCCACGTGCAAAAGCTTGTTATTAAATTTCAGGAAAGTTTGGCCACATTTTTATTAAATTACCTCATTTTTAAAAAAACATGTTTCCATGTTAATTATAAAAAAAATTGCCTTTGCTAAAATTCACACGGACACCTATTGCTATACGTGCGTTGAAATTTAGCGTAATAATACACAAAAGTTCTATTCTTATATAATATATATTGGCGTAATACAATAAAATTTTTGAATTTGGACCGATAAAGTTATGTGTTAATATTGCGCATATAAAGAATGAAAACCCTAATTATGGAAATGAAACTAAAGTATACGCATAACTTTTTCAATACATTGCTAATGTTTTCTCTGTTTAGGTCGACAAAATGTTTAGAAAAAGATCTCTTGTTTGCAGCTTCCAGATTAAGAAATAACGGTAAATTATTTTACATTTACTCATTAATGGAGGTTTAAGGGGTGGTGGCTACATTCCATACCTCCCTCCCTTTCTGCTACGGGACAATGGGTATTGGTATATTAATTATTTTTGTTTTAATATACAAAGTTCAAGTGCTGTTTTGATCTCGTCAGAAAAGAATAAATATCAAACTTATTATTCAAATCTTTTGATTTCCTCACTATTTGATTAAACGTCCTCCAAAAAGTACTAAATCTCTTATTTCGTTCTTTGAGAATCAATCTTACGCACTGTAAACCTTAATAATTACACTGTAAAAATATGTTTCTAATCTCTATATCTTTGTAATCAAATGCCGCAGACCTTAGATATTTCAAACTATGAATTCTGTTAGATGAAAAATCCAAGTTTGAAATATCAAAGGTTTACACCATCAGGTGGAAAAAATATTGGTATTAGAAAATCAGAGTTTGTTACAAAGACCCAATTCCTTTGGCAAAAAAAATACCTTGCTGTTATTTTAAAGAAAACTGATCACACAAAACTACAATTTTGAATTCCTTTGTTTCTTTAACCTGTGATAAGAATGAATTGTTAAATAAGGGTCTATAGCATAAGGTTGAAAATATAATTGATTATAAATTTAGAATTGATTTATCAATTCTTTTATTTTAAGAAATGCATTTATTACAATTATGAAATTAATATTTGTACTGTTTTAGAAGACGACACGTTTGCATCTGATGATTCTGAAGTCCAAAACAGGTATTTTGTCAATATTTCCAAGTAGTTATTCTGTTATCTTTATATTTATTATAATAAGTTTTAATTTCAAAATAAAATAAAATATACAAATATAAACAGAGAAATGCGCGAATTTTTGTATAATTGATTGCAAAAATTTAAAATATTCAGCGACAAAAAGCTCAGATTGTTTCTAGATTATGGGCGTCATTAAAGCCTTGTAAGTTGTAATGTTACATTTTCAAACTAAATTCTGCAATGCTTCTATACCTGATATTCTGTTGTTTAAGAGTAGAAAAATTACCAGACCTGAGAGAAAAACCTCTTCCATTCCAGGTGATGCTTGTGTTATTATTGAAAAATTTATAATTAATCAAACAGGCATGTTTCTACAAATCATTTAAATATTCATGCAATTCCGTTTTTCAAAGGAATTGAGTCTTTGTCACAAACTTAAATTTCCTAATACCTATATTTTTGTAAGCTGATGATATATACCTTTGATATTTCAATTTACGAATTATGTTCTTTGTTTAATTTTTGTAAATATATTTACTGATAAATGTAGGAAAGAAGAAAGTATCCCTGTAGTGTTTGTGGACGAACTTATTCAACCAGCAGTAATCTAGCAAGACACAGGAAAACAATTTACATTATCTTTTGTTAATTTGTAACTGTATTTCTAACGTTATTTGTATTATATTTCAAATTGGAATTTATGGATCTGTTTCATCAAATTTAAAAGATTTAATTATTAATTTGTTTTTGTCATTAGATTTAAGTAATTTTCCAGAAAATAAAAAAAGATTATGATTATAAAAAATAAGATTTTGACAATTGCTATTTCTATATCAGGCAAACCCACAGATCTCTGAACGATACCAAAGCTAAGAAATGTTTTCACTGTGGCAAAGTAAGTTTAATTTTATTAGAAGTTAATAATGTATATACTGTCAACATATCATGGGCTAGGCATATGTTTTTCTCCTAACATTTTCTTATATTACTATGGGCAAAATATTGTTCTTACAGAACGTAATGATACGATACGTATATTCCATTTGTTGGTGATATTTTAGTCTAGACGAGAGCCGAAATTTTTTATTGTGTAATCTTTAGAAAATTTAAAATATTAAATTTTTATAGAAAAAAAGAACTTGTTTAAAAATAATTCATATTTAGAAAAAGCTCATTATAGATTTCTCGAACTGTACGAATTGTACAAACTTTTATTTATTGTACATAAAACAGTGCAGTGTACATAATCTCATGGAGATGATTTTAGTTGGCAGATAAACCGTCTTGACTCACTGCAGTCCATATCATTCCAAGCAAACGAACTAAAATAAACAATAAATTAATAAATGATTGTATCCTTACCTAGATTTATTATTATTAGGATGCATATAATAAAATACAATCAAAGTAAATTCCAAATGTATAGACTAAACTCCTGAGAAAAAGGGTTTGATGGAGTAAAGTAAAAAGAGCTGAAAGATGTGCACGCTCGCACAATAACATCCATCAGTATTTTGCCAATTACTCTTTTCAAACTTAAGTTAGAAATAAGAGAGTTGCAATTTTGACATGTATATGTCTAGGGCTACAAAAAGGTATACGTGAGTTGGTGAGGTAAATCCAAAGGCCAAGAATAAAGTCGACGCTATCTAAAGTTTCAAAGTTGTCTAGACATCAGTGCAAGTCTCTTGAAAGAATTTTATTTATCATAGCATATGAAAAACTGAGTTCTTATCACAAACTCAATTTTTCCCTATTTCCTTTCTACCTGAAATTGTGTAATCCTTTGATAATTCTAACTCAGATCTAACAGAATTTATATTTAGATCTAAGGTCCACGACATCGGGTTAGAAAAGATATGGATTAGAAAATCAGAATTTGTGACAAAAAGTCAACTCCTTGATATTGTTTCAACAAAATAGATGTTTACCTGAATTCAGCACAATCCTCTCTATCATCGTGATTATTAGGTTCCCCCTCCCCCCAGTTTGTATACAGTTCGTCTAATGTTTGGTTTGTACTCTCCCATTTAAACACACCTATAAAGTACACAATATATATAATTAGGTTCACTCTCCCATTTAAACACAAATACAAAACACATACCAAGGATTCATGAATTTCACTAGAAGGGGATCATTTATTTGGTGCACACTATCCCTTCTTGCCTTATATAGTCGGTATGTATGTGTACTGTACTGCTTGCTCTGGCTGATAAGTCGGCCTGTTACTTGAATTGAACCATAATTTACAGTGGGGACAGGGGATGAAAACCCATTTTTCATCTGAAAAAGACATACATTGCCCTTCAGTCGTAGGTCATTATCTTAGTCGTTCATTTTAATTCTTCAGTTCATCATGATCGACAGACTCTTAGTAAAATCCAATTTACCCAGTACAGGTAAAAGAACTAGAAGTTGGCCAATACACACATTTATGATCTAACAAATAAATGTTCTAATAGTTCGAAGTGAGGTATAGTTGTTTTTAATAAATTCTATACCTAATTAGCAGCGTTATTAATACTTACTTAAAGACTATATTTGTTCTTTAAAGTAATCAGCAATATTTAAGAATCTGTACTTTAATGTTTGTTACCTTCTGTTTGATGATCTCTGGCCCCGAGCCAGAAGGTTGAAATCTCGTAGTTAGTCTTCACATAGTTCTTCACTAACATTAGAAATTAATTAAAGGAACCGTAAGCGTTATTTCAAGTAAAACACTGCAAACATGACAAAAGAAGAGGTTCAAATTTATGCGACATTACTGGGACAACTTTGTGACCTCGTAGCTCCTCTAGCTTTGATTTTATAAGCATAAGAAAAGCAAATTTATCTGGTTAGATATAGCAAATTCAATACATTTTTGTTCTTCACAATAGCTCTTAAATACGGGGAGTTAGGATTGAGGGAGATTTCAATCTTACGCGCAATTTCCTTTAGTTTGATGTGGAACCTCCATGAAAAGATTGTAATGCTAGATTCGCAACGGTTTTTTTTTAATCCCTGTCTGATCAAGATATCAATGTTTATGATTTAAAAATTTGATTATTCTCAATTGTGGTTTCTCTAAAAAAGTGACTTACGCATTTCTATTGCATTAAAACATATAGTAGTTATCAAACCTAGAAAAATGACAATATTCTTCAAATTATTGTTCAAATTAAGATTGAAGGGATACCATTGTGAATCTGGTATTGTCATCTGTGCATGGAGGGTCACTTGAAATTACACTTACAGTCCCTTTAAAACCTTTTCAATTAAATTCTCAGGACCAATAAGAAAAGCAATCAACAGTTTAGGTTTAAAACTTTAGCCTACATATTTATTTTTTCTGTCTGAATTTTAAGTATTGGTTAGTTTTAATGTGAAGCAACGAAACAAGAAAATTCAAATACAAACACTTTTTAACAGTAATTATCTATGTTTTCGGCAATCGCGAAAAAACTGTTTTAAGGAATTGAGTTTTTGTCACAAACTCTAATTTTCTTATTCTTATATCTTTGCATTTCAATGTCGGAGACCTTAGATATTTCAAACTATGAATTATTCAAATTTTTTAATTTGCAATTTCAAAGGCTTACACCATCAGGTTGCAAAGATAACGCGATTGTAAAATCAGAAGTTCTGGCAAAAACGCAGTTCCTTTCTTTGTCAAATTATCTTTTTTAGAATATAACTCTGGTCTAAATCTAAGAATTGCCTATATAAGATGTAGTTAAGGTTTAACCAAATGTGAATCGCTTTTGTTAGAGGGTAATTCAAAACCTTATTAACAATCCCTATACTGTAAAATATTCATTGCGATTAAACTGAAAAGAGTCGGCTTACATTCAAACTTTAAGAAAATATTTTTAGTTCAATCTTAACAGTTGTTATACCAGTCTAAAAAGTTTGTAGGATAGTCTAAACCATTTTTAGGTTAACCGAACTATCTATTTAGGAGAAAAATCTAAAAGATTTTTAGAAATATCGAGAAAAAAAATGCTCAAAGTAAGGAAAACATTTTTATTTTACACTTGCACATCCAAATGTTTTTCTTACAGTGAATCTACGATAAAAGAACTAAACCTGTTTCTTCTAATTCTCTATTTACAAATTCAACCAGAAACCCGAGTTTACTTTCACAGTATCTCTTAGCATCAATCCTGATTTAAACTTAGTAACACCCAACACATGAGAATTTCGACTTTAAAGAATTCAGAAAGCATTGCAGGCTCTATATGATACCATTGATGTTATTTATTAATTTAATCAGTGTTAATATTAACATACAAAAATGTTAATGTTAATTGATATTAACATATGGATGTTAGCAGATAATTGTTGCAGGTTGATATTATTGTTAAATTATATGTTAACATTATAAACTGAAATCAATTTTGAAAATAACATCAATGTTCTCATATCATGCCCGGTATCTCAGAAAGACAGATTAAATAAACAAACTGAGTTTTTACCACAAACTCAGATTTTTTATGTTTATATTTTTGCGACTCAATGTTGTAAAACCGTAAATATTTCAATATTTCAAACTATGACTTCTGTTAGATCCAATGATCTTTTTTGGAAATATCACAGGTTTACACACTCAGGACTTCAAGGTATGGGGATCAGAAAATTTGAGTTTGTGGCAAAAACTTAGTTTCTTTATTCAAAGGGTGTTTACTCTTTGCTGCTCACAATTGATTAATGGATTATAAAAAGATCAACAACAATATAAAAATCTTTCCAATTCCCCATGTTTATTTTGATTGGTTCAATTTTGCATATTTTTTTATAAGAGATTTATTTTTACATCTTTAAAATTCAATATTTTTTCCTATTAAGGAATTGAATCTTTGCCACAAACTCAAAGTTTCTAATTTCAATATCGGGGTAAACTGACGGTGTAAACTTTTGATATTTCAAACTTAAACTATTTGATCTAACAGAATTCATAGGTTGAAAAATGTAAGGTCTACGACATTGGATTGCAAAGATATTGGGATTAGAAAACCAGAGTTTGTGACAAAGACTCAATTCCTTTATACTTTGTAATTTTTATTGGTAAAAAAAACTCACCACGTCCTAAAATTGTTAAATATATTTAAAATAGAAATCTTGGAATGCATTATTATAATCTACTTCAAGATAAGGATGAAAAAAAAAACAATTTAAATATTTTTATATATTTTTCCTTGAATCCGTTGGAATAAGAAACTGACCAGCACCTAAAGAGAAAATCAATAAACATGGGATTTATAAAGAGGGGTCGACCTTCATTCAAGAGTAACATTGTTGTATATTTTAGAGTTCATGGTTGCAATTGTCATTATTATGTAGTAAAACCGTAAAACTACATGACTTTTTCGCTCACAAGTCACAGTACTTTCAAAATTTGCATTTTAGAATGAAATCAAATAAATGATGATATAAAAAACTACTTTAAGAACCTGGTATTTTCTCATAGCCCACTGTAAGATATATCAAACTCTTAACTTCCTTCCGTAAACTGAAATATGGAATTAAAATCATTTTACAAATTGTTTTAAATTCTAGATTTTAAAATGAGAAACCTTTCAACGGTCATTGTTGTTATGTTCTGCTGATCACTTTTCGCCTTAAAAATAAATTTTTGTCAAAAAAGAAAAAGTTGCATTGATTTTTTTACGATACCTGCTCATGTTGGGTAGTAAACTCAAGTCTTAAATCATCCACCATCTTATCCGCTCTATTAGAAACCAACCTGTGGAATAGATTTCATTATTTGGAACAATTTTGGAATTTCATGGCAAATGATTCGCCGTTTATCACAAAGTTGTTGAGAGATCCATTGATTGGCAATTTCTTGGAGCTTTTACAGGGGAAATTAATAAAAAGATAAAATAAAATATCAAAAATATAAAAATGAAAAACCTGACTAAAGATTCTTTGAGTTTTTCTACAGAAGCAGTTGTATCACCCTCGACACCAGGCTAAACATTTGTCAAATTTATAAATAAAAAATCAATTAATTAAAAAATATATTTTGAATTTTACAACCTGTTGGTTTACCAATTCTGATCGAATAACAAGGCTTTCGTAATTATCCTGAAATAAAAATATTGTTAAAAAACTGTTATGGGTTTTTTGTTCCGTTGCCAACTTTGGTTGCAACTCAACCTGCGTTTAAATAGCATGCACTCAAAATGAGCCTTGTTTGAAATCTATTCTCTTTCCTGTATTAGCGCCAATTTTACGTACTGTGCCTATACCGTACTGTCAATATATTTTACTGCACATGTGCATCCAACATCTTTTACTGTTTCTTTACATATCTTTTACTGCACCTGTACTTTCATTACTTTCATCTTTTACTGTATAACCTGTACTGTCAAAGCAATGTACGGTAACCGTACTGCACTAACCTTGCAGTGCACTGTACCTTTGCTGTACTGTCAAAATATATTCTTGTACTATCGCTTTACTGTCAATATTTTGTACTTTCCTGTACTGTACTGTCAATATCTTGTACACAATTTGTACTCTGTTGTCAATATTATGTAATATGCTGTCTATATCTTGAAATACACGTGTACTGAACCTGCACTGCACTGTCAACATCTTGCACTGTACCTGTACTTTTATACTAAACCTGTACATGTACTGTCAATATCTTTTACTGAACCTTTATACTGTGGTGTCAATATCTCGTACTGAACCTGCACTGTACTTGTACTGTACTGTAAATATCTTGTACTGAACCTTTATACTGTGGTGTCAATATCTCGTACTGAACCTGAACTGTACTTGTACTGTACTGTAAATATCTTGTACTGAACCTGTACTGTACTTGTACTGTACTGTAAATATCTTGTACTGAACCTGTACTGTACTTGTACTGTGCTGTAAATATCTTGTACTGAACCTGTACTGTTGCTAAAACTTTGTTATTCTGTGCAAACTGGACTTCAAGATTTTTCAGTTTATCAGATAAGCTGTCATCAACATTTCTAAATGACACATTTTTATCATTGCAACCTAGATTATAGAATACTTGATACATTATATTATATGTATATGTTTTAAAGTAGCTCCTTTTTAGTTATTAACATGGTTTTTGTTTAAACAAATAGAACTATGGATTTTCTAAACGTACAATCTAATTATTTTTCTGATTTGTTAATTTTCACTGTCGCAGAAAAAAGATATTTTGCTCTATGTATGTAATATGTAAAGCAGAGATGTCTCAGTATTGTACCTTATTTAAAGGAATTGAGTTTTTGCCACAAACTCTGAAATTCTAATTCCTATAACTTTGCAACCCATTTTCATAGACCTTTGATATTTAAAACTAATAATTCTGTTAGATCAAATAGTCTAAGTTTGACATAATAAAGGTTTGCACCATCAGGTTGCAAAGATATAGGTGTTAGAAAATGCGAGTTTGAAGCAAAAACTCAGTTCCTTTTATACCTGGATTCATTGCTAAGTTCGGTCAAGGTATTAGTAGTGTTCAGCAGACGAGCATAGTGTTCATCAATCAGACGTTTGTTCAAATCTAATCTAAACAAATAGTTTTTTTGTTCAAAATCTAATCTAAACAAATAGATTTTTGTTCAAAATCTAATCTAAACAAATAGATTTTTGTTCAAAAGCTAATCTAAACAAATAGATTTTTGTTCAAAAGCTAATCTAAACAAATAGATTTTTGTTTAAACATATTTTGTGCGATTCGATTTTTTACAATTAAATATTTAATTAAATCCAAATAAAAAGATTTGTTGAGATCTTTACATTTTTTACAACAGGGTTTTTTCTTTGTATATTCTAAATCTAACATAATTTTTTTTTGCTTTTTTCCGACTCAGTGCAGTACTTCAGTATTATTCTAAGCCTAATGTACCTGTTATTGTGTTGCTGAAGCTCGGCGTTAATTTCATTGTTTTTATCAAACTTTTCCTTAAATATAATTCAATTTTTTTGCAAGATCGTATGAACAGGGTTCACGGGTTTAACACTCTAGAATCTTCATCTATATTTGTACTTTGCTTTACTTTGGTACCTCACATGATCCCAGGGAAGGTTTATGGATGCTCAAAATTACAAAAAATTGCTTTAAAAGTTTTTTATTTTTGCAAAATTTTTAAAGCGCAAGCAAATATTATGAAATCCGTGAAATTTTTTATTTTTGTTTTATATTGTACAAAGAGAACATGCTCACAAATAGAGCCACAATTATTGAAAAAGAAGATGGGCGCGAAGCACCCTAGAAGCCTAGTATATATAAATATTAAAATTATTCTCGTTATAATTTTTAGCCCGTACTTTATCTTATTAATTCCTAAAAAAGTTGTAATATTTACTTCTGATAGAGTGATCCACTCTTTTAATGTGCTGTTGAGTGCTTGGAGGGAAGTAGCAAACTCATTCTCCACAGAGTTCTTTAGCTCTACCTGTTTACTGAAAAGCGGGGTTCACTCAGGAAAACTCATAATTTCCGCGCCAATTGATCACAATCACAAATAACCACGTTATAAAAATTCTTTGATTGTATTTTTGTCCATGGAATTGTGTATCAAAGACTTTGCTAATTAGCAAAGTCTTTGCTGTGTATGTTTTTGCACCATAAAGGAATTGTCCTTAAAGGTAAAGTTTACGAAATTCGAGGACAACAAATCAATTAAAGATGGTTACCATTATATTTTCTTTCGATCCAAAATTTCTTTCTAAAATTGTATCTGCAAAACTGTTCAGTGTCGTGTTCATTAATTTTTTTAAAAAATGGTTCTCACTTTTCGGAGAAAAATACACAATTGTAAGATTAAGCAATCAACGTGAAAATGATGTAAAAAAGGATAAAGAGATTGGCCATGTTAGACAGTTTTGTGAAACAGAGTTTATTTACCTTTTAATATTCTCAGTATCCACTTCCAG